CCCCCCCCCGACGTTTCGCTTTCAGTTCCCGTTTTTTGGAGAACACTTTCCTTGCATCCGGGCTTTCCAAGGCTCATCGCTGAAGACTCTCCTTGGATGGGAAAGGTTTGGGGGACTATTGGGTAGAGAATTTACCAAAAAGTTTCCCCTTTCTCGCCGGGACGATTTCATTGCTCAGCGCGCGGTTTCCTGCCCCCCGGCTGCGTGTCTGGCCCGCGGCAGGCCCCTCGGATGTCTCTTCCCTAAGATCCCGGCCTGGAGTTTTCTCCCTTCCTGCCCAGGCTCCTTGGATTTGGAGGTTTCGTGGCAACATTTTGGCAACTGTGTCATTCTAGCTTCGTGAATGAGATACATGGGGTTGGAGAGGATACATCGGGGCTTTAAATGGATGCACTTGTGCTTTTGGGTCTTTAACAAACAACACACATCTGGACACCAAAACAAGGGCCTGTCAGTGTAACGGGTCTCAAAGGCCAGGTCTGGTATGTAGGGTTCGTTTGGGGGGTTCTCCCAGGGCAGTGGCTTCTGGTTTCCCTCCTGGATCTGAGAACAGAAATTTGTTGGCACTCAGCTCAGCGGTGGCTGAGCAGCTGGAAGAGGCATCAGCGTCAGTGGTCCTGTGGTTTTGTTTGTGTTTTTTTAAAATATATTTTTATTGATTTTTTTTAGAGAGAGAGGAATAGAGAAATAGAAACATCGATGAGAGGAACATCATTGATTGGCTGCCTCCTACACACTCCCAACTGGGGACCCAGCCCACAACCTGGGCCTGTGCCCTGAACAGGAATCAACCCGGCGACCTTTTGGTTCCAGGGTCAGCCGTGGAGCGAGCCCCACAGGCAGGCAGCCCTGTGGGTGTGAAGATGGTGTTCTCTTGGCTCTTCCTGACCCCCAGGTCATTGCAGATCACAGTAGCTGTGACCCTCACCTGCCACGCTGCCCGTGTGATTATTCCCTCCCCCAGGAGTGAAGTGACGCGGGAGGCAGGGAGGCTGGGAGTGGAGCTGCTTTTTCAGTCACTTGCAGCCCATTCCTCAGCATCAGGATAGAGGAAGCTGACTGTCCCCTGCAGAAATGGGGTTATGTTCCTGGCTGTGTCTTCATGGAGCCTAAGTTTTAATATGGGGGCTGTTCAGTTTCCTAGAGTCACTGCAAACTCCTGATTTCTGCCAGGACTTAACACTCAGGCCAGTGAGGCAGGAGATACGAAGACTTCCAAAGAAGGGCCCGTTCCTTGGGTGCCGCCTCACAGAGAGATGAAGGGGTGAGTGAAGACGAGGTGGAGGTGGGGTGGGGGATGGGAGGCCTGGGAGCAGGTGCTGCCTCTGGAGTCAGGCAGACCTCGATTCAGGTCCCAGCTCCTGAGTCACTTGCTGGCTGTGTGTGATTGGGTTTCCTGTCTATAAAACGCAAGCACTGCTGCCCGCCTCGTAGTGCTGTTCTTAGCATGAGATGGGTGCTGCCTGCTCAGTGCCAGCTCAGTGTCTGTACATAAGAAACAGCAAATTCCAATCTAGCCTAGTGTCTGTTGGGAATGCCAGTGAGTTTCGGCCCATATGTTCCTGAGCCAGTGAGCTTTCCATGCACTTCTTCCCTTATCCTAACCCTTTGTCCCTTCACAAACAGGCAGCAGAAAACAGCTGAGACGGAAGAGGGGACAGTGCAGATCCAGGAAGGTGAGTGGGACCAAGAGCCCATCATGGCCTTTCCCTCCCCTGTGGCGTCTGTGCGCCTTTTCCTCTTGACGACAGGCAAGTGAAATGGGGAGGAAGGCAGCAGCACTTAGAGTCTTCCTTGCTCCTTGAATTCAGGTGCAGTGGCAACTGGGGAGGACCCAACCAGTGTGGCTATTGCCAGCATCCAGTCATCTGCCACCTTCCCTGACCCCAACGTCAAGTACGTCTTCCGAACTGAGAATGGGGGCCAGGTAAAGGAGGGGGCCAGGTGGCTGCAGGTGTTACCTGGGTTGGGATAGAGGGAGGTAACTGAGCCTGTCTTGGAGGATGAGGTGAAGATGTGGACTGTTGGGGGGTTGGATTTGGAATAGAGGTAGGTATGGAGTAGGGCCATTTTGAAACCTCCATATGGGGATAGACGGGGGAGCGGCTGGGTTGCAGTTCCGAAGGACTCTTGGGGCCCTGTCTAGGAGAAACTTTGCGAGGGGCCCTGGAGCCCTAGCACTTACTCTCTTGTCCTCTCTTCTCCTCCTCCTCCTTTCCTCCCTGCTTCTAGGTGATGTATAGGGTGATCCAGGTGTCTGAAGGGCAGCTGGATGGCCAGACCGAGGGGACTGGTGCCATCAGTGGCTACCCTGCTACTCAGTCCATGACCCAGGTACGGGAGGGGAGGGGGGACTAGGACTCTGCAGAGGGAGATGAGGCAGGGAACGAGTGGGATGGGGAGGCCAGGGGTGGCGAGGCATCTTGCTCCCTGTCCCCAGACACTCTGGACCCTCCCCCCTTCCCTCAGGGTTAGCAGCAGCAGCAGAGTTCCCTGGGGAGGATCTGATGGTCACTGGACTCTGTCCTCTTGGTGTCCTTGTAGGCGGTGATCCAGGGTGCGTTCACCAGTGACGATGCAGTTGACACAGAGGGGACGGCCGCTGAGACACACTATGCTTACTTCCCTGGCACTGCTGTGGGCGACGGGGCGGCAGGGACCACGGCAGGGAGTGCAGCGGCTGTTGTCACCACCCAGGGCTCGGAGGCACTGCTGGGACAGGCCACCCCTCCTGGCACCGGTGAGATGCTGTGTGAGGGGCTGGTTGCAGGGCAGGAGGGGCGGTGGGACATGCTGGGCAGTTGTCCCTGAGGGCTAGGCAGGCAGGGAGTGTGGGACCCCCCTCAGCAGGAGGAAGTTTGTCCTTTTTGATTGTTTGTTTGTTTATTGTCTTTTTCTGCCCTTTTTATTTTTACTTACTATTTAAAAAAATTTTTTTATTGATTTCAGAGAGGAAGGGAGAGGGAGAGAGACAGAAGAGAGACATATCAATGATGAGAGAGAATCATTGATTGGCTGCCTCCTGCATACCCCCTCCTCCTAGGGATTAAACCCAAAACCCAGGCATGTGCCCTGACCTGGAATCAAACTGATCTCATGGTTTATAGATTAACGCTCAACCACTGAGCCACACTGGCCGACAGAAATTTGCCGTTTTTAGAGGAGGGTCCCAGGGCCTTGGCCTCAGAGCTCGCTGAGGTTCCTAGTCCCATGTGCTAACGACCTACCCGAACCCTCCCAGGTCAGTTCTTCGTGATGATGTCACCACAGGAAGTGCTGCCGGGAGGAAGCCAGCGCTCCATTGCCCCCAGGACCCACCCTTACTCCCCGTGAGTAACCCTGTTCCTTCTCAGTTACCACAAGTGCCAGATCTTGTGTGATTCCTACCCCAAGTGCCAATCTGACTTTTTGACCTTCATCACTTGGCTGCCGTGGGCTCCATGGTCAGGAAGTCAGAAGCTCCCCGGACGACGCGGGATGAAAAACGCAGGGCTCAGCATAATGAAGGTGGGTGCGCTCGGGGGCGACGCTAGGAGCTGTCTGGTGGGATTTCGGACAGCTGTGGTGTGTGAGGGGAAAGTCAGCTAACTTCCTGGGCCTGTGGCGAGTGCAGGCTGAGTGACCTTGTCCTCACTGTTCCCACAGTGGAGCGGCGCCGCCGGGACAAGATCAACAACTGGATCGTGCAGCTGTCCAAGATCATTCCAGACTGCTCCATGGAGAGCACGAAGTCAGGCCAGGTCAGGGGCCTGGGCGGCAGGCGCCTGTGTCCCGGGGCTGCACACAGCAGTCACCCTTTCTTCTGAGGGTTCTTAGGGGAAAGTAAGGCCGAGAGAGTGAACTGCTTTGGAAAGCAAGCGGGTATCTTGTAGTCCAGCCCTCGTTCTGTTGGTCTTTCCTGCAGAGTAAAGGGGGGATTCTCTCCAAAGCCTGCGATTACATCCAGGAGCTGCGGCAGAGCAATCACCGGTTGTCTGAGGAGCTGCAAGGGCTGGACCAACTGCAGCTGGACAACGAAGTGCTTCGCCAGCAGGTCAGCTTCCTGTCCCAGTGAGCCCTCTCGGACCCCGAAGCCACTGAGCCCTGTTGGGACTCTACCCTTCATTTTCCACAGACAGGCTTGTCTTTTCCCCTTCACCAGCTGATGTCGGAATAAGTTCAGGGACTTCCTGTTCCCTTTATGCCTCCTTCTCCTGTCAGGTGGAAGACCTCAAGAACAAGAACCTGCTGCTCCGCGCCCAGCTGCGGCACCATGGGGTGGAGGTGGTCATCAAGAATGACAGCAGCTGACTTGGGTCCCTGTGGTGGAGCGGCAGGAAGCCTGGAGCAGCAGGCTCCCCGTGCCGTTCCTTCCCTGCCCATTTCTGGCACGAGACTGGGAGGTTCAGAGGGTGTGTCGGGCAGCAGCCTGCAGGGTGTGAAACACGGACGAACACTGGCTGACAGCCTGGTGCACACTCGGTGTCCGTGCGGATGCTGGACACACCCAGTGGGCCTGCCTGGTGCCTGCTGATGTGACGCCTGGCTGCCCGGGACCTGAGGCTTTCGGTCCCCCCTTCCCCAGAGCTCGGGGTGCACCTGAGGACGCCAGGGGACAGGCTTCAGCAAGACGAGGGGGAGGAGCAGTGGCCGCTGCCGCAGAAGGTTGGGCAGCAGCTGAGACTGACGCAGACGTCCAGGGAGAACCATAGGCAGGGCCCACGTGGGCTTTGCCCCTTGTGGGGACGGTTCCCCCCTTCTTTTTCAAACATAAAATGTTCAGAGCCGCAGTCAACTCCTGTTCGTCCTTTTGTGGGCCCCAGGGCGGAAGGGAGGGGCACGCTGCGCCTTGACCAGTGAGGCCTGGGCGGGGACTGGGGTGGGTGCTGCTGCTGGCTTAGGAGTCCAGCTCAGACCTGGGCCAGACCCGCGGGTTTCTAGGGCAGGTGCCCGGGGGCTGGGCGGGAGGCGGCGCCTCCGCTTCCGGGTTCCGGTCGGCTCCCGGAGGGCGGAGGGACGCTGCGGCTGGCCAGGCGCGCGCATGTCGCAGTATCGTGGGTGGGGGG